TCGCTTCACAAGCAATATTTTGCACTTGAGACCGGGCTATTGCATGAGGAGCCCGCATCAGTAATCTGTTGGAACTGAGGAGCTCCAAATCTGCGCGAACACTGCCTCCGTTCCTTAGCATCAAAGCAGGAATTCAGCTTTGCACTAAACTATTGTCAAACGTGCCGGGTTATCTTGTTGTACTAGTTCACGTTCTTTGGAGGATGGAGAAATACCTCGACTACTAGAGGCCAAGACTGAAAACGCAACTGCATTTAGCGGTGCCTCTTATCACTATGTCCTTCAACAGTACTATGGATAAGATTCACAGTCACGGAATGCTTTTTCCAGGCTTGTTTTCCCATTCCATGTTTATTGACATTTACGTATCAAGACAACTGAAAATGACTAATCGGGGAAGGCGTACGTTTTCGCAGGTTTTAAGAGGCTGGCCAGATAGTGAATTGCGCAGTAGTATTAGGTCGGTGCAAAATCAATGCGCATATTTTAGCCCTTGTTTTAAGACAACTTTTTTCATCAAACTCCTTCTTTGGAGGTAGAGATTTGTAGAGCATTACAATCGCACTCGAAACATGATTTGACTGCATTTATTTTTCTGGCCAGAAAAGCAAACCCGAATGAAGACATTTTGAAAATTTAGCGTATGTAATAAAAAATTGTATACATTATGCACAATTTAGTGTTTCTTCAAAAATCAACTAGCTGAGATTTCGGCGCCTCAAGCTGGATAGGCGTTTTGGTCATCTTGTAACCCATAAATGCCAGAGCTTTGCTTATTTCTGTGAGCGTAAAGGTGGGCCTCCTGTTTATAGTTTCTGCAAAATTGTTTAGCTGTTCAGGACGCAGAAATTATAAAACTCCATGATTTGGGACTCTGAGACATACGAAAAATGTTGAAAAAGCTGACAACTTTGGATTTCAAATTTTTTCTTTTCATTCATCTTCCTTGTTTGAGCCCTTCTCATCCTTTTTTGTCTATCGGATTGCGGATGCAAGACAGCCCACTTCCCATTTACACTAAGATTTGAAGGGAGTTATGATCAGTTTAAATGAGGCTTCAGAAAATAAACTGTTTCGCTTATCAATCCATATTTTTCTGCACTCTTTATTGTATTGGAAAATGTAGACTTTTGAAAAGTTGTAGCACGTCAGAATGAAAATTCGCAAAACGCGCATTACTTCTGAACCAACCTATACAACCATACAAAGCTAGTAAAGAACCTAGCAAAAGCTAGGTTTTCTGTTTGCTCAAAATTCAGTGTTCATTCAAGTGTAGCCTTTGACAAACTATCTGCATGTTCGTTTAGTTGCAAACTTCATTATTTGGGCGGTTTGTCCTATGCTCGAATTTGATCTCACTATAGAAGTTTTTTAGTTTGTGCACAAAATCCCGTAGGTAAGTCATTGCAATTAATTACTAGTTTTTTAAGGGTAACATCAGCAATCGTCGGACAGTGTCCGCAACAGACAAATTCTGGGGAGGAAGTCCGTCTTCAAGAACTCCACAAGGAGGCTTTGGTATGCTATGCCTCATTCAAACTTGAATTGCTGATTTTTGACGAAGTAAGAATTTAGTCGGTACACCAAATTACAATATCACACCACCTCCGGACAATCTCGTTGCTGAACACTACATTGTCAGGTAATTGCTGCTTCAGATCGTTTTTGCGAAGATAGCAGAGAGTTACAGGGAGCGTATTGGTAGCCCAGCTCCCCGTTCCCCACCATCGTTCGTGTCACCAAATTCACCGAATTCGCCGACAAGCCCACCAGCTACCGAAGTTGCTCCGCCGACACCTACGTCACCAAATCCGATGGCATCCCCAAAGACCGGACCTCGACGTATGGCTTATGCAACTTCGAAAAGGTATGAACGACACCGTAGCGAGCTCGCCTTACCTACATTCCATGTATCGACTTTTTGAATGGATTTTCTGGAATTTTAATTGATCTACTGAAGCGATCCCAATTTACGTTGCGCTAAACCTATGATCTTATTTTCAGCATATCTATGTTCTGCTCAAGTTTCTGTTTCGATTATTTCTGCTTTTGTTCAATGAAGAATTTTGTTTGGCATGGCTTTGCTTGTTTTTCTCCAATAGTGCATGCTTCCCTAAAGGGCTGAAAATGGATTGTACGTGCGGGAAATTGTGACCGGTTACTGGGTCTACTTCATCGAAAACTTCTTCCCTTTTTCT